AATTAACTCCGGTTTTTCTTTAAATATCTTCCGCAATTGGACAGATAAATTTCATCTTAAAATTTCAACTACAAAATGTAAGGCACTATGTATTCCAAAAAGAGGTACCTCCATATAAAACCTAAGAAAGCCAATAATCAAAATTTCTCAAGAATAAATTAAAATTGGCAAGAGCACCACATACCTGGGAATAGTATTAGATACTCGGCAATCCTGGCATATCCATATTCAATATCTCAAAAGCAAAACTTTAATCCTTCACAATTCTCTTTGATCTGTAACAGCAAGCTCTTGGGGTATATCCTCAAAGTTAGAGAAATAGAGTACATAAGTTATTGAAAAAATACTACTATATGAAGCTTCCGTCTTTGGTTTAACCTTGAATTCCCAGGTTCAAATACATTTACTCTCAATCCAAAGACCTTTCCTCCTCTCTCTAGCAAAAGCATATAGAACTACTCCAACTAGTGCGCTACAAATAATAACCGGTATCCCTCCAATAACTTTATCTCTAATAAAAGAAGCAAATAAAGTAAGAATATCAAAACTAATAATTCAAAGCATACTGAATAATAATGTATTTCCACCTACAGATTTTGAATATCTTAAACACAACTTAGAGCTACATCCTACATATTTTTACAAAATGCCTATTGGGAACCTTTGAACTCAATAAATATGAACTCACCATATATACTGATGGTTCGAAATCTGAAGCAGGCGTCGGTAGTGCATATTGCGCATTCCGAAAAAATTCAAATATTAAAAACTGGAATATTTGTTTAAACAATTACAACTCAGTTTTTCAAGCAGAACTTTTTGCAATCAAAGAAGCCATATGCTTCGCAAAAGAACTTTCTTTACTATCCTTAATTCTCTCTGATAGTGAATCTGGTATTCAAGCTATAACTGGACACAGTCGATCGCCTATTGTACAAGAAATTCATTTTCTACTTTCTAAATTTCAAAACAATAGTAGACCACATTTCAAATGGATTAAATCACATATCGGTAATAGTGGTAACGAGCTCGCAGATGAACTAGCAAAAGAGGCTGCAAACAATTCTTCCCTTCCAAATTACTCAATTCCATATCCAATATCATTACTAAAAACAAAATTAGAAACAGAATTAATGCACTTATGGAAGCAAACCTGGACTGAAGCAACAACCGGTAGAAAAACTTTTACCTCCATATCAAATCCTTCCAAATCATTAATATCTACCAACCGTTCAATTACATTTTTCCTAACAGCTCATGGTCCATTTACAGAATACCTTCACAGATTCGGACTTCACCGTACAAATCTCTGTACCTGTGGGAATGAAGGCACAATAGATCATTATCTCTTTCACTGCAACCTTACTAAAGACTATCACCTTACAGCATACAATTTAAAATTTTTGACATAAAATCAGTATAATTTATTCATTAATAACGTAGCTCGTGCTTCAGATGTCACCTTATTTAATGACTAGAGTGTGCTTGTGTTTTCTGAAACAAACTTTTAACGTCTAGATGTATTGATGTTATCCGTAGTCGCATTTAACTTGTCTCTATAATATACGTCATTTAACTTGTTTTTGTCCCACATAAGTAGATATAAAATGGGGGTTCACCGCCATTTGCGGTGTGCGGTGCGGGCATGGCCAGTGACGTCTGCGGAAGGGAGGCTACGTCATGCATGGTATCACCGGAAGGGGTGGAGATTGTGGAGGAGTTCGCATGCTGTTGGCTATGGAATTGGATTGGTCAACACTAAAAGTTTAGGTTTGATCGAGAGGCAATCGTGGTAACGACAATTGTAGTAATGTTAACATTGCGTTACTATGACAGTGTCCTTTTCTGCAAAGAATAAATTTGTAAAGAATAAATTTCATCATTTAGTTCCCCCCGACGCATATAAACTTTTTTTTTAATATTAGTCATACTAGAATGAATACTTATTGGTATAATTTTAATTGATACTGCTTTAATTTTAGGATATTCGGTAGTACTAATGTTTTAGTTTTGAATAAGTGCATATCGGATATTACGTTTCTGAGACCGGGATTGAAACTTGGAATTAAAATATCTCGATCGATCAGGCCTTAATTTTCTTATGTTTCCGTATATTTTAAGCCTTACTGTTTCCTATACACTCAGAATTTTACTTTATTTTTTAAAATCTTCTGTTCATAATACCAGATTTACTTTACGTAATCTGAATTGCATTTTTATTACTAAATTCACTTTCCCAGAGTTTTTTCCTACTTGTTAGACAAGAATTTTAACTTATTTGTTATATTTTACGAGTGTAATCACGAAAACACGCGTTTTTATTCCTGACATTATTTAATGGTAGATGTAATTTTTAACTTTTTTCTCCTCTTTTTAACGTTAGTGACCTTTAACATACTCTGTATTTTAACTTATTTTATGTATTTTCTGATCATATAGATGACCTTTACTTAAGTTTAGATGTAACATTTTTAGCTTGCTTTTATGCATTTTAACCTTCATAATATTTAATGTACCCTAATTTTGGACCACTTTATATTTTCACACTATATACATGACTTTTACTTAATTTCTTTCATACATTTTAACCTTCATAATTTCCAATATAGTCCTAATTTTAGCTTTATTCCTATTTCTGATATATGAACTTTATTTAATTTTATGTGATGTTTTAAACTCATTTCGTACATTTTTAAACCTTCCAAATTTTTTTTAAGTACTCTAATTTTAAACTTGTTCATTACATTTTCCTACCATATACCTGACTTTTATTTAATTTTAGATGTAACTTTTAATTTCTTTTCTACATTTCAAAGTTTTTTGTTTCCAACATACTCTGAATTTTGACTAATTTGCTATATTTCCACACTATGTGCATGACTGTCATTTAATTTGTAACTGCTTTTATGCGTTTTAACCTTCGTAATTTCAAATATAAATTTAATTTTAGCTTAATTCCTACATTTTCTGACCGCATATATGAACTTTATTTAATTTTGGATGCAATTTTAATTTGTTTCATACATTTTAAACCTTCATAACTTTTAATGTACTCTAATTTTGAACTTGTTTATTAAATTTTCCTACCATATACATGAACTTTAATTAATTTTAGATGAAATTTTTATACAGTTTTGAAACTTTTTTCTTTCTAGTTTCCGACACACTATAAATTTTAACTCTTTTTTTTTTTTTTTTTTTTTTTTTTTTTTTTTTTTAACAATTTTCGAATTTAATCCCGCTTTTGATTTTATTATTTAAGCTAAATTTACATGTTTAAGTTTCTTAAACATATAGTTTTCAATTAAGCATTTTATTGAATAACCTTTATTTATTTCGAATGAAGTTATATATATTTATTTCTTTTAAATTTATTGCATGCTTAGTATTTTAGAGCGGTATAGCACTGTTTCAGGAATGCTTATAGTTCTTGGTAAAAGTGTAAATCTTATCAACAGTCAATAAATTCATCAAGTCAACCAATTTCTTCTTTCCTTTTTTTTACAATAGCTGATACTCAGAATCACTGCAGTTCATTAAAATGCTGTTTCAGTTTAAAAATAACTGTTTATTTGAAATAAATAATGAAATAATATTCACTTGATTACATTTTTATGACTTTATTCACTGGAGTCTGAATTTTATAGCACTAAGATGAAACAATAGTAAGGCATATTGCGGGAATACTTGAAGGTGGTATGGGTTTTAAAAATAATTTCTGAAACGAGAGTTAGCCATACTACATAATTATGAGGTCATATCAAGGGGTACGCAAATGAAAAAAAAAGCTGGGAGCACTAGTTCCAGATATCCAGTTACAGAATAAGTAATTCAATATTATTTTCAATGCTGTTGTGAGTGTAATCATGACTATCATCAGTACATTCATTAAAATCTGAATTAAATAAATATTTATTATTCCATTCTTCTTCTTCTTTTTTTCTTTTAAAAAACTCTTCATCATATTTTCTGGTACAAGCTGCATTTTGTTACTTAACCATTTGTTCAATTTTTATAAATTCCTGAAATCGTTACAATATCTCTGTCATTAAATAATGAAGAGTCTGTATGTGTATAAATGGCAGTACCTGGAGCTACCAAATTTTGAACAGACCTTGTCTTTCGTCTGAAAAAGAGAACTTAAAAGCCCAAAATTTCACTTTGTTTATTTTATTTTTATCTATTTCTTTTATACTCCATGCAAACTTAATGGAATTTTTATTAGCAAACTCAACTGAGTAGCAAGGTGTTGCCATTTAGCAAAGTACATGATATTTATGTTTTGAATTTAATAGGAAAATTCAGCAATTTAAAAGTGCATTACCACTCAGTAATTTTTAAAATTTTAATTAATTTTATTAAATTTTAAAAGCGGGTAAGCAGATTGGCAACAAACATTGCTAGGCCTAGATAAGATTAGAAATAATGTAGATAATCGGAGTTATGGTTGTCTAGGATCCGATTAATTGGAGTTATGAATGTTTGAAGTCCAGAAAATAGGAGCTGCTAATATCCGAAGTCTGGATATTTGCTTTTATATGTTTATTTTTCAGATAATTAAAATTGCGCATATTTTGAAACCGGTTAATTGGAGTCATGAGCATCTGAAGTATTTAATTATTGGTATCCGAAATTCGGATAATTTGGAGTTCGAATAACTCGCACTTGAGTCTTTATATATTCTGCTGAACAAATAATTTACTAAAACTAATTGTGCATGTTTAAAAATAGTTTACTCTGTTGATTTTTATATAAACAGTTAAAAACAAAAAAGCAAAAAGGTTAGCACGTTAATAGGTAAATCGTAAACACAAATCGTTCAGGAAATAAAACAAAACAAACAAAAAACAAGCATCCGTAATCCGCTTCCTTTGCGCCTCAGCTTGTGGATGTGCCCCTTTCTACGGCAGATTCACGTGACCTGAAGAAGGAAGGCGGAAATTCACGGCCTCCTCTTTCAAAATAGAAAAGAAAATATAATGGAGGGGGGAAGGGAAAATAAAAAGAAAAGAAAAAAGTTTCGTCTGTCCCTGCTTCTTTCCGGTGTATACGATCCACATTTCGAACACCTTCCGGAGCGACAGGACGTGTGAAATTCTGAGTACACACAGAAAATTTTCAGGAATTCTCTGTCAAAGCCCATGCTGATAAAACAAAGGTAAGTTCGTTTCTTTTTTTTTTTTTTTTCCATTCTTTTTGTATTGTTGTCGAAAATTATGAATGTTGCGGTTTCAGTTGTTATTTAATTTAGTGCACACATATCATTATAAATGTTAGAATATGTTAATTATGTATATGCAAATATTAAATATCATTTCGCGATGTTCTTACATAAAAGAAACATAAGATAAATTGAAAACATTCTCTGTTCTGGTTAGTAAAATAGACCTCATGAAACTGATAACTGTCACAAATTTTAGAATTTTAATAAACATACGGAAACATACAACTATCTGTTACCAATGATTTTAAATGACTTTTTTTTTTTTTTTTTTTGATAACTTATTCTAAGTACTTCAGTGTTTTTTAATTTATTAACCCAAAGGAATATTAATTTCGTCTTGGCATTTTGCGTTGAAAACTTTAAATGTCCGTTTCACTTTTCAAATTGTTGCCAACAAATATTATCGCCTTGTTATATTTAAAGAAATTAAATAATAAAGAATCTGCATAAAAGTATGTATGTTTCTCGCATTGTGATAAAACGACGGTACTTAGAGCCATTGAATTTTGCATAACTTAATGCTCCACCGAATCTGCCCATCTGGAAGTCCTAATATACAATTTGGAATTTGTTTTATAATCGATTTCATATTTTGTAACATTTTAACAAATTTTTGATTAGCAAACTTAACGATTTCAAAGTGAGCAATGGCAACACTACGGTTGCAAAAAGCATTTTTATCTCCAACGCTTGAGACTGTGTATCGGAAATTCTAAAGATGTGCTCATTTTAAAATTATGTTGCGATATTGCGGTTTAATTCAACTTCATGGTTTAAGTGCGAAGAACATGATATTTGATAAATAAAGCTAACATAACGTTCAAAAAACGTCCCTTTGGGTGCAATATAAAATCTGAAAGCTATCAGACTTAAAAAATTTGTTTTTTAATTTATTTTAAAACAAATTACTATTTTTTACAACTTACAAACTTAAAATTATAAATATGAATTTCATGTGCAAACAGCTCCCTGTTTTTCTTACTGTTTCAAATGTTGAAATGTTTTCTCACTGTCCTTTCATCATTTTGACGCAATTTTGTGTCACAGAATAAAAATTAATAAATTAAAAAAGCTAAATTAATAAAATAAAAGATTGCAAATGTAAAATCTGCAGATTTCAGTTTTATATTTAAAAAAAAAGTCACAGTTTAAAAAAAAAAATAATTTTTCTTTTTTTAAGTAAAAAAACTAACATCTGCCGCTCTCAACACATATAGGGACTATTCGCACATTTTTTAGACTATTTTCATTCTATTTACATAAGCATTTTACCTAACATTTTTGTGTTTTAGATGTTCTAATTGATAACCTTTATATTCTTCACTTTCTTTCGACAAAGTAATTTTTCCAGCCAATAAATCCTTTTGTAAAATCGGAAAATGTATTTTATTCCATTCCTATTGAACAGTTTTCCAAAGTTTAAATAGGAGTGTAAGTCGGATGTTTGGACAATTCGCTTAAAAAGTCGCAATGGAAGTCCAAAAGAGCAAAACTCCATGGTTGATACATCAAGAGGTTTAGTAGAGATGTAAGTGAAGGGTATGGGCCTTGATACTCGTTTCGTATTCTATTTTTCGCAGGAAATTAACAACACTGGATTTTGGCGTTTTGCTACTTGCTTTGTCTTGATGCAATTCTACTGAATGATGGCACTGTGGCTAAATATGAAGTACTTCATATTTGAAAATTGGGTATAAAATATGTTCTTTATAATATGTGGAGTTGATATTAACATTTTTCTACAATCTCTTTATTTAAAATTTTCTATTTTATGAAAAACCAGCAACAATCATAAATCCCTTTTAAAAACTTCATTTAGATTCTTTGAGCCGTGTTTTAAGACTGCCCCCCCCGCTTCTCTTTCATGATAATAAATGGACCTGCTATTATTGCAGTCATTTAAATATATCCAAGATTCATCTGTTGTGAGAGTTGTTTTCCATTTTCGTCCTCGTAAATGTTACTCATAAAGAACTCTGAACGGAGTTCTGTCTTCCGCGACATGTCGTGAAGGAAAACGATGCACGTTATATTTTTTCACCTTTTGGGGATTCAAATCAGCGTTAATCATTTCTTTATAGTTAGTTGGCACTATACATTTTAATGATTTTGCAACTGTGTTTTAACTTGGCGGATTTTCTTTTAACATTAAACAAAGATCTTACCTTTTGCAACATTAGAAACATTGCTTCCCCCCCCTTGGGTATTTATCTTCCATTTGAAGCCAAACTTGAACGTTTTTTTATCTTTTCTCGTTGACAATATTGCCTATCGTAGCTTTAGATATCGAAGAACCATGGCTTTCCCAGCTTTCTTTAATATATGGATAAATTTATTACGAATGAGCACAAACAGAGTTTTCCATCCACTGCTTCTTTAAAAGCGCTACTTTGCATTATAAGGTATTTCTCCCACCTTCTTGGCGTGCCTTCGTGGTGTGTAGTGGTTCTGCACACTGGGCCGGTATTCCAGAGGTCCGTGGTTCGATTCCCGGCGAAGGCGGTTGCTGTTTTTCATCTTGCCTGCTTCCAATATACCTAATATCTCTACAGTGGCGCCCGAACTAAAAGGGTGATGGATGATGACTCTTCACACCCAGGATTTGGCAATTGGGTCCCCTAAAAACCCCAGCCGTCCTTTAAAAAAGGGAGTATATAAGGTATTTCTCCCCCCTTCTTGGCGTTCCTTCGTGGTGTAGTGGTTCTGCAGACTGGGCCGGTATTCCAGAGGTATGTGGTTCGATTCCCGGCGAAGGCTGTTGCTATTTTTCATCTTGCCTTCTCCCAAAAATACCTAATGTCTCAACAACATCAAGACAAAACTGTCAACTAGCAGACGTTAATTTATACATTCAAAATATAGTTGCAGTTAAAAATAAATCCATGCAGACGACTTTTTTTATAGCAAAGCAGAATCATCAAAAATTTTCGAACAGGTTCTGAACAGTCTAGCAAGTGAAATTTAACCACTGCGTTAAATGAACGAGAAGAATCGAATCAGATCGAATAGTCGAAGAGAATTTCAGCCAAGCGATCAGAGTTTGTTTATGCATTTCGTTTTCTAAGAGTTTGTTTATGCATTTCGTTTCTAGAACGAATTAAAAAAAAAAAAAAAAAAAAACTGAAAGCTTTCAGACTTTATACTACGCGTTTTTTTTTTTTTTTTTTTTTTTTTTTTAATAACGTTTTGTGTGTTACCTTTATTTATTAAATATCATGTTCTTCGCTCTTAAACAATAAAGTTAAATTCAACAGCAATATGGCAAAATAATTTTAAAATGAACATATCTTTAAAATTTCCGATACACAGTCTGGCGCGCTGGATATAATTTGTTTTTCCGTACAGTGTTGCCACTGCTCGCTTTGAAATCGTTGAGTCTGTTAAACAAAAATTCGTTAAAGTTTTACAAAATATTAAATTTGTCCCATATGAAATGTCCAAATTTGTGCTTCCAGATTCCCATATTCGAGTAGAGGACAACGTTATTCAAAACTTGATGTATCTAGGTATAGTTGTTTTCTCACAATACGAGAAACATACATACATTTATACAGATTCTTCATAATTGAATTTCTTTAAATATAATGCAGGGCTGTAATATTTGGTGGCAAAAATTTGAAAAGTGAAACGTCGTTTATAGTGAACTTACGCAAAATGCTAAAACGAAATTAATATCTTTTTTTCTCTAGCAAATAGGATTCAGCGTTTCCCTTATAATATGTCTCTACATTTAAATATAATTTAAAAAAAAAAAAAAAAAAAAGAAAGAAACTTACAAGTAACGCTAAGCTATATGTTTCTATTACGCAAGTAAACACTAAGTAAAAGTATATGTTTCCTGTACGGAAAAAAGCATTATTTTCAGCGCTCAAGACTGTCTATCGGAAATTCTAAAAATATGCCTTTTAAAAATATTTTTAGCCCAAAAGGACAGTAGCCCAAATGATCTCGAAAGGTGTATTAGTGTGTAAAAAGAGAAAACGCGCGTGATATAAAATCTGAAAGCTTTCAAACTTTTTTACCTCTAATAATGGTATTCAGTGTTTACCTTATAATATATCTTTATGATTTTAATATACTTAAAAAAGAAAAAAAAAAAAAAAAAAAAAAAAAATCTCAAGTAACAGTAAGCTATATGTTTCTATCGAAATTTTTTATTATTATACAAATTTTACTTTTGCTGTTTTTTAATGCATATTACATTAAAGATGCTTTTCCGTAATCATGTGAATGATATTAATATTCATGGAATGAGGAATAATTATTAATATTCACGGAATAATCGATATAGCACATGATCAGAAGCTAATATGGTACGAAACTAACAAATACAATTCGTATATGATGTTCCTTTTTATGCGGATAAAAAATTCAAGGTGCTCAATATAGTCAGATAAATTAAAGTTCGTATGGCACTTGGATTAACAATAACTTCATTTTGGGCGTAAATGATCTGAGCAAAATCGTGTATGTAAAATGCATGAAACAGTCTCTCAGGAATAAAGAATATTTAACATTTTTAACAATTTTATCCTGAAGACTGTGTTGTAGTTCACCAAAACATGTAAAAAGCTTTTCGTTTTATAAGAAATATAGTACAGCGAGGGACAGTTTTGTCAATTATTGGAGAGAGAATTAATTTATAAGACAAAGAAAGCTTCTCAAAAGGCTCATAAACTGTCAGTTTTTATCTCTCCCCTCAAAAAAAGAAATTGAAAATTATTTTTGATCCATTATATTTTAATGGTCAAACTGCATAGTAGCTTAGGGTAGCCCACTGTTGTATCAAAAGGCCCGGGTTCGAATCATGGAGAAGGTATGGATTATTGTAAATATATGGTGTCTTTGCGACATGGTGGCACTCTAAATATATGGCGAGCCGAAAGTCCTCTTTTGTAGATTGGTGGTAGGAGAGAGGGGAAGGAGACCCTTGG